GTGTGTGTGTGTGTGTGTGTGTGTGTGTGTGTGTGTGTGTGTGTGTGTGTGTGTGTGTGTGTGAGAATGGTCTCTGCTATAGCAGATCACACTCTGGCATACAGGAAGCATGTCACATCTGGTAGTGAGAGAGGAAGTGAGAAAGTGAATATTCACCTGCATCTGTTTGTCATGTGACTTAACACCAAACACAAAAAGGTTTTGTACGAATTGCCTCTAACAATCAGATTGTGAGCAATTAATGTCTATCTGTAAAGACTATGTATTCTGTACTGTAGAGAAAATCAAATATTGCTGTAAGTGCCACATTTACAGTAACACTAAATTCTTTTGGAAAGAGAGTTTGTCACTTGTATATTTGTGCACTGGAAATTGTTACTTAAAGAAAGAGGTTAAACAATATAACAAGTCTTATGAAAATTATCTCTATTTTTCATGCTTTAGAATAATAGTGAGGTCATCAAAACAGTGAAATGTGTTTGTGGTCAGTAAGATATACATATATATATATAGTAAAAATATATATAAATAGTATATATAAAGTGTCTTATGCTTGCCAAGGCTGCATTTGTTTGATCAAAAATAGTGTAAAATAGTTCACAGTATTACTGTTTATAATTTAAAATAACTGGTTTTTATTTTAAGATTTTTATATATGATATTATTACAAAGCTGAATTTTCAGCAGCTATTACTTGAGTCTTCAGTGTCACATGATCCTTTAGAAATCATTTAAAAATGCTGATTTGGTGCTCAAGTAACATGTATTATTGTTATCAATGTTAAATTCATTTGTGATGCTTAATATTTTAGTGGAATCCCTGATACATTTTTAAGGATTCTTTGAATATAGATTTCAAAAGAACAGAATTGATTTGAAATAGAAAACTTTTGTAACATTATCAATTCCTTTGCTGTCACTTTTGATCAATTAAATGCAGTCTTGCTGAATAAAAGTATTAATTTCTTTCAAACAAACAAAAAAAAACTTTTGAATAGTAATATATGTATAAAATTAAGATGTTCTAATGCACTTTCCAATATCTGTTGCTCTACTTTGTTTCCATTCTCTTGCTTGCCCTGCTCTGTGTACAAAATTTGGAGGTCAAACCAACTCATTGTCCACTATATTCAAGGCATAATGTGTTGTCTTTTCTTCCTTTTTGTTCCTTTTTCCTCCATATAGGGGACACTCCACAAAGGATGAGATCTGCTCAGTATCCAACCCCTGCGGAATTGGATGCATATGCTAAAAAGGTTGCCAACAGTCCACTCACCATCAAGATCTTCCCCAACAGCATCAAAGTACCTCAGCGGAACCACGTTCGTCGCACAGTCAACGGACTCGATACCGCTGGCCCCCGATACAGTCCCTACCCCTCCTCTCAGGCCACTGCCAAGACCGGTCTCCTTGCCATCGTTAAAGTGCCCCTCGTCAAGGGTGTCATCAAGGACTTCGACGGCACACGCGCACGTCTGCACCCGGAGGTGATAATGAATGCCGCAGGTGGCCCTTATGCAGCCACCTCGGCCAGCACTTTAAACCTGCACCACCCATTACAGGGGCCTCCCAGAGCATCCCAGAATCTGCAGGGGCTTCCTCCACACCCTCAGAATCTCCAAACTTTGCAACAGCCTGGGCCTCCACACCAAGGACTCAGACACCGACCTTCCTCCTCCATGCCACAGCAACCCCAGGGCCTTCCCAGACCCCAGACTCTGTCCCACGCGCCTGCTTTAGGCCACCCTGGTGCCCACCAACCTTCAGCAATCCTGCTTCCTCAGCAGCACCTACAGAACCCCCCTGCAAGCCTGCAGGTGGGTCCTCGGAAGTTGCCGGTTGCAGACGCCCCTCCTAACGTGACTGTTTCTACCTCAACCATTCCATTATCCATGGCCGGAGGGCTCCACCAGGGCCGTCAGGCAGACTTAAACAGCATAGTGCACCAGATAAGCCAGTTCTGCCAGACTAGGGCTCAGGGCGCCAGTGCCACGTCAATGTGTGAAGGGCAGATCGCCAACCCCAGTCCCATTAGTCGAAATCTACTCATCAACGCCAGTTCTCGAGTCTCGGTGCATGCGGGAAACCCTAATGCGCTTGCTCCCGGCCTCATGCACCCATCGTGTGCTATTGGACCTCCTGATAAAATGACTGCTTCTGCGCCAGTGAGTGCAATGCCTCCGCATAACATGGCCACGATGAACCACATGTATCACAGCGATATAAAACAACAGCACCTACAACATCAAAGCCATCAAACGCAGCGAAATCCCCAACAGCCGCAGATGAGGTCCTGGACTCAGCATCAGCTCGCTCACCTTCAGCACATCTCGGAAGGGGGCGGACACCCCTGCAAACCCCCGAATCGTGACCCTGGCCTCCCTTGCAAGGGCATTACCTATCCCCCAGAAATGGGCATGGGGCAGCCTTATGCCATGAAACCCTCCAGCCCCTCGCTGCCACTTGCCAACAACAGCAACAATGCAATGCCCCCAGGAGCGGTGACACACTATACCAACGGGCAGTACTACCACCAGCCACCGGTGTGGGGTAGTATTCTTCCCACGCCCAACAGCGACAGCTCCGGCTCACAGGACCTCCCCATGCCCTTCCATGGCACTGGCACAGGCAATACCAACCCCACCCCAGGGATGGACTGTGCCCCCGCGGGAGGAGCGGCCCATTACCGATTAGTAGGGGGTGCCTTAATAGGGCAGACTAATCTGATGCAAACGGCAGATTGCATGGGAGGGGACTTCCAGCCGCCCTGCTTCCGAGATCAGAATCTCATCCTGATGGGGAAAATGCACAGGCCACCCCCTATGGGCCGGGTAGTGGTCCCCCCCTCTGAGACGCAAGGCCAGCACCCAGGGTACAGATAAGCTTCAGCCCACAAGCCTCAGACACAGTCTCTCCTCAGTGAAGTCAGCCACACACGTGTGTCCTCGACACCTCCTGTTAGTCTTAATGAAATGACATTACGAGAGGAACTAAATGAGCTCAAAATCTCAAGGATGATTGTTGATGAAACTAAGAAAAAAAGAATACAAACATGTCTAATGAAGAGCAGTGTTTTGTGCTATTTATCTTGCAAGTGATCAATTTTTTTTCTTTTAACAAGTGCTTTTTTAAGGCACTAAAGGGATTTATTTCCCACTTCTGTCTTATCTATCTCCAGTTACCCGGATCTCAAGTGCTCCTGGCTTATTTATGAACGTCTTTCTTGTGTTAGTGCTAGCAGCTTACGTTATTGAAATATATTGAAAATAATATATATGTCTTGTGAAATACATCACTTCTAAACTGAGGGCACCAGGCCTTCTGTTCATTGGACAACCAACTTGCTTTCATTTGACAGATCTTTGTTTTGAGCCCGTCTTATAACATCAAGATGGCTGACAGACTCGGAGCACTTCCCTCTTCAGCATGACACGTTCTTAGTCCTTTCTTTCTTTTTTTCCTGTGTCTGAGCTATGCGGGAATATGCCAGTCACTGGTCCTTTCAGACTGTTTCTAGGTGAAAGCTCTTGACGTGGGTTTCCAAACGAGAAGAGCTACAGATGTTTTAATGTTAAAGCTGTGCCATTTTTGTTTTACCTGATCATTATGCTCCCCTTATTTCTTAACACATGAGAAACTACTACTTGAATTGTATAGATGAGTTGTGCCGTTTCAGGTGGGTCGTGTGTGTGGTTTAGCTGTACGTGGGTTTGCAGGACTAAACATACTACTGAAGGTGGTGTCTGTAGGCTTGTTATTAATATTATGATGTAGAAACTATGTACCAAATCAAGGGTTTATGATCCTGCGTTTTCTAGTTCATCCTTTATAATAATGTAAAGTAGGAGTTGCTACTGATTCTTTTGTGAAGTGTGCTTGAATTGACCAAATTGATCACTTGCAAGATCATCTGTGGTTAAATTAAGGACTTTTTAAAAGAAAAAAGTCAAAAAGGTGAAACAGCAGGTGAATTGCTTATTTTATTGTACACTGGCTTATCTACTGTACTGCTGTAACTTTAAAGAAGTGTAATAACTGTGTATGAATGTGGCTGCATATGAATATGGGTTCACAGATTTGGTGTGCATGTGTTGAGTGCAGGTGTGTATGGGCATGTGTGTGTGATGGTGGATGGGGTGTGTGTGTTGGTGGGTCAGTTTGTCTTGACTCGCTGTTGGTTTGCCTCCCCTCAACAGCCCTCATGAAGCCTTAAGTATTTGGTCCTTGGACTTTCCTTTGACAACAAGCATGATTCTAATAAAGGTATAATGAATTCTGATTTTGAAAAATAGACTATAAAGGAACAGCATTTTTCCTCATTTATTTTTATTAACTCAAGCTTTTGTTGAATAGAAAAGCAATTCTTTAGAATTACTTTATAATGTAAACGAAGAAATAAAAAATATTTTATCGTCATTGTTTTATAGCTGTGTGTAGTTCTGGGCTGTAACAAAATCTTTTTATTCCACGTTTCAAAGCTTCAGTTTTGCAATTTGTGCCATTTATAATTCTGAACTAGATTTTTTTTCCTCTATTTAAATCTTTTTTTTTTTTTTCGTTTTTTTTTCGTGTTTTCGTTTTGCAATTGCTGTGAAATTGGAGGAAGCTTCTAGAAGCCTTTCTCATATCTGTCACTCTGTGGCTGTCAATTGAATGCGTGGGAAGAATCTGAAGAGCGTGAGAGTTGTGCTACTCTTTTTTTGTAATATTGTAATAATAAAATAAAGTTCTAATTTATGCTTTCATGTATGACTCCGTTTCAGTTTATTGCTCAAAAGCTGCTAAAACTTCAACCTTGGACTGGTCACCCTGTGTGTATATATACCCTCATATACTGTTGTCTTCCAATGATTTTTTTCGACAGTGGTCTTGTTTTAAGAATCTCTTTCCTCAAGCAGTGTCTGCTCATCTGGGTTTTAAATATGATGCTCTGACTGCTAGTAGCTATTGCAGGAAATACCAGACCATCCCAAACTAAAAACATGAAAGCAAACGATCAAAAATAAATGTTTTGATCTAAAGTGGCAGAGATATTAAATGGTCACAAAAATCACATTACTTTACTGATGAAAAAAATGTAACTTATTGGTGGTTCTAGTAGTTATTATCGAACAGTTTAGTCTTGCAGGTTCAAATTCGGGTAAAGCAAACCAACATAACCTTTGCTACTATCACATCTAAATCTCTGAACAGATTCTGAGGGATTGTCCGTGCAAATTGTGTATTGTAAGTCAGTTCTGGTAACTAGGTCTGCTAATTATATCACACCGCCAGTACATAGCTTAAAATGAAGCCGTCAGCATATCTTTGACCCATGGATTTAAACATCCAGAATAAACGATTCTGCTTTACAGTTTTGCATAATCCATTGAATTTAATTCAGAATTTATTTGTATATCACTTCACAAAATAAATCGCTCACAACAACTTTACAAAGCTGATACATCCATTAAGAGTTACTATATTGAGTAGAACAACATTCAGTAGTTTCTGAGAATACAGCGTCTGTGCACAGTTGAATTGAATAATTCTGTTAAAAACCCTAGAGGTGATCCCTAGAGAACCTCTTCTCATAATTTAAAAGAAAGGGAGTTTTTATTCAGGACTGGAAAGTCAACATTTAGAGGGAAAACAGCTCCCAGTCCGAGTGGGGCCACTTTTCCCCCGGCTGTCTCAGTTACGCATGATTACAGCTTGTTTTATTCAATGGCTCTATATATCAAAGGGATACAGCGCCGGAAGTGACGCAGATAGGCAGGTCGCCGCATTTAAGCCGTCTGGTGCGGATGTACATTTTAGTTATATAAACGAGAGCACAGCAGGACATTCGCGATCTAGGGTCACAGCATTTCAGCTCTGCAGTCAAGTAATAGCCGGAGGACATGACCCCTCTATCACTGAACTTAAATGAACGATACGTTATTGGCCAGTAAAATAGGTAACGAATGACAATAAGTCATTAGTGGCAATAAGTATACTGATGTTATGCACAGTGATTCATTGTGTCTGGATCTTGTTTGCATCATCCTGCGATGTTTATCGGTCACAAGCAGCACCATGCGACACCACAAGAGGGCAATATATACATACAGTTTATATACAGTTTCATACCTAAAATCAGTCCAGGTGATCTTTGACTAATTGCGTTGTTATGCATTAAAAGTTAACTGAATATGCAAATATATCACATGATTCCAATCACTCATAATCACTGAGAACATAAATGTTCTGAAATAAAAGATGTCTATAGCCAACATTCAAACTTCTGTACAGTTTGACAAGGTGTGAGAGGGTCATTCTCATCATGCAGTCGTGAGTTTTATGTCTTAACTCGTCATTTTTTGTTGTTGATGTTGTATCCTCGTATATAGAAACATTTAAATGACTGAAGAGACATTAAATGTTATTGAGTTTTGAGTGTTTTTAAGTGTTAAAAAATGTATAGCCTGTTTAGGGTACTTTTGTGTTAGATTTTAAGTGTTAATGTAATGAACAAAAGGTTAAACACAATTTTCAATATCCATATTTTAAATATGGAAATCATATTTTGTTTTATCACAATTATTCAGTGAGCATTGGGTGAATATTAGATACATTTTTAATCATTTCATGTTTGAGGTAATGCACAATTACCAACTATTCTTAATTTTCCAATAAAAAAAAACTTGTCAGAATGACAGTTTGAGACTAATTTTGTTTTGTGACATTGGTTTGTGTCTATTATAGTATGATATCAAAATTTAAAAAGATGATTCAAATATAACAAAATGAACAAATTGACAGTCTTATTTTAGCTAACTCTCAATAAAAAAAAAAGAATTAGCTATGTTTAATATGTTATATAAATGCTTTCATAAATTACAACACATGAATAATCTTTTTTTTTTTAAATTACAGTTAAAAAGATATGATACATAACAGGAATGACCCTTGAGGTATATATAATATTTGTTCTTTAATAAATGAACCACAGTCAAGTTTTAACCAGACATAATATGTAATTATTCCTACACCAGTTGGAATGAAAGGGAACTGCAAAATAATTGCAATAGATTACGGATTATAAAAGCATCAGACGGAGCTAGAGGTCTCAGCTAGAGGACTCAGCTCCTGTACATCTCTGCGTTGTTGTCTCTGTGTCCAACGTTTACTGAACGTTTGCAGGAGTCCACGCTGGCTGGGCTCTGTAACCAATACACATGATATGATGTAGGATTAAAAAAAACAGACACACACACACATTTATTTTAAGGGGTCATATGATGCAATTTAAATTTTTCCTTTCTCTTTGAAGTGTTACAAGCTCTTGGTGCATAAAGAAGATCTGTAAAGTTGCAAAGACTAAAGTCTCAAATTAACCAAAGAGATAAATCCAAAGAGAATTAACCACGCCTACCTAAAACGGCTCGTTCTAACACGCCCCCACATGTCTATGTCACGATGTGGGAAGATTTGCATAACGCCGCCCAAATGTTCACGCAAAGAAAGAAGGCGTAACTTTTATTCTTGCTGTAGTATTGTTGACTGCATACGTATAGTACGTTTTTTATATTTAAAGGATTTGCCACTGACAATTCAAACGCGATTTTTGAGCAGTGTAGAGTAGCGTTTGTTGTTTGTCATTTCTCTGATCACAAATGCAGACATGGTTTTATGTTTACGCAGCGCGATGCAACGCAACGCGTAAAAAGACAGTATAAGTTGTAAAAATCGATGCGTTTCAGAAAGGCGGGGCATAGAGGAGCAACAATAATGTACATTATATGGTAAATAATGTGTTTTTTGAACCTTAAACCACATAAACACATTTCATTACACCAAATACACAAAATAATGTTCTTTTTAGCAACATCATATGACCCCTTTAACATCGACTACCTCTCTGAAGTTCAGTTGGGGAAGGTACAGGCAGGCATTTCCCAGGGTCCTCGGTAATTACACCCAGGTTTCTGTTCCATTGGTTCCAGTTGACTTCCTCCACACTGAAAGAAAGAGGACACATGCTTCAGTTATTGCTTATGGTTTCACTGAAGTGTGTTAGACAGTAAACACAGATCAATACAGGGTAAGTGTGCATTATTATGTATTATGCTTATGTTTGCATGCTAATATCCTCTTTTCAAAAATGAATCATCCATTTTTAAATAGGAGACAAATGCAAACTTCAGATCTTGTGGTTTTGGGTGAAAACCACCAGGGTCACCTACCTAAAGCACCAGCGTCGATCAGGCTCCTGCCCCCCACCTAGGTCCTTTTGTTTCCCAGAGCGCAGCCTTGTCTTCAGGCAGCGGGGAAGAATCCACTCCATGTCCAAGGTGGTGATTGCACGCTGTGAATAACAGTGAATAGCAAACAAAATGGCAAATCATTACAGCCGTTTTGCCCACTGAATCATTTAAAGGATTTACAGTGTTTGTTGCAGAAATGGACAGCTTTAACTTTGCCTTTGATTTCACCTGTAGTTTCCAGATGCTGGCGCTCTCTACGGACATCTCCTCCACTCTTTGATTCATCAGAGCGATCAGCATGTTCAGCATCAAAATGTAAGTCATCACTATATACAGAATTAGCAGCACATAGAAGACCTCTGTATATTGATATTGATCGGTGAACTCCAGATCTCCCATGCCAATCGTAAACTTGAACAACTCCAGAGTGGTGAAGTAGATGCTCTTGAATGAGGGCTTTTTACAGTTTTCATTTCCATTAATAGGAAGGAAAAAAGACCGTCCCTTACTAGGTCGATCATCAAGGAGAGTTACCACAGCTGTTGATTAAGAAACACACCATTAAAACACATTAAATATTTGAGGAATTGAAAGTTCAAAAGAACACCATTTATTTAAAACATAATTTTTTTGTAACAATGTAAGAGTCTTTACGGTCACTTTTGATCAACTCAAGTATTAATTTCTTTCAAACAAAACAAAACAAAACTTACTGACCCAAACTTTTAAACAGTAGTGTAATTGGGAAGTGTTTGTTGTGTTGTGATAAACATGAAATTAATTGTAATAAAAAAAAGACCTGCGGAGAACCCAATGAGGAAGACCATGTACACGACAAGGAATCGACGGATTTCTCCAAGAACCATCTGACAACAATTAAAGAGAGTGAGAGTGTGTCGAACAAACATGAAGTAAAGTCTGAGTTGTAAGGACTAGTCTACATTACAATGAAGCATTAAATGTGTTGCATAGCATTTTTCTATGGCGCTACTCAAAATACTTTCACTCTACTCTGAAGGCCAGAGGAAATGAAGATGGATAAGGACAATTATCCCTCACCTTTTGTATCATGACACTGTAGATTCCCATATTTTTGGACCCTCTGGAAAAGTAAAGTAGATTTACCCAGCTCAAAGCAAGACACAAAACTAGACAGGCCAGATATTCATCATTACCAAAGCAGTACAGTAGAGCACAAGCCAGGAAGAGCACGGCCTGCAGAAAACTAATGCAACAAAAAGCCTTATTAGGAGGAGTAAACAATGAATGTATACACTTAATGATTACTGTTTCTAGCATAAAAATTAGTTTGACTAGTGCAATTTAGCTGTGTGCTGTGTGTATATATATATATATATATATATATACACACACATATACATATATATATATATATATATATACACATACATACATACAGGGATTTGAAAAACTCATACCTTTAACCCTAACCCTAGCTAGTAGAATTATTGGCAAAGACTGTAATTCCAAGCACATTGATCAATAGTAGTAAAAATAAAAAAGAAAAATGTTAATTAATTGTTAATGCTGAAATAAATATTAGAGTGAAAGCACTTACAAAAGTTGATCGGTGTATCCATCTATGACCAGGGACTGAAATCTTGGACGCTTCCTTAACATATCTATTAACTTAAAAGATAAGGGAATTCAGTAATTTCTGTAAAAAAGGGGGCGAAATCATTTTGTATATGAAAGTTATATATGAATTTGTTTTTAAACCAACAGCATTAGATACATAGCCTACCCCTCTAAAAAAGAAGTAAAGTGCTCCAATGGTAGTTATGATGTGTCCTGTCAGAAGCAGATAGCCTTCGCTACCTTTTCTATAAGGATATGGAAGCTTTAACGACTGAAAGAAAAGAGTGGGACCAGTGTTAATTTCGTTGAGGAATAATCTTCGTCAGAATTTGTCAACGACATTTTTTGCACCGAGGACAACGAAACCATAACGAACTGAAACTCTTTTTGAATGACAAAAACTATGATGTAAATCTATTGAAATTTTCCTCAACGAATAAAAACGAGACGAAAATGTTAGGGAGGGACGATTTGGTAAGAGATTCATTCAGAACGAATCTGTTG